GGGAGGGAGTGGGGTCATTGCAGGGGTAACAGCTATTCGATAGGGGTGAAGGGGAGGGAGTGGGGTCATTGCAGGGGTAACAGTCAATAGGGGTGAAGGGGAGGGAGTGGGGTCATTGCAGGGGTAACAGTCAATAGGGGTGAAGGGGAGGGAGTGGGGTCATTGCAGGGGTAACAGCTAGTCGATAGGGGTGAAAGGGAGGGAGTGGGGTCATTGCAGGGGTAACAGTCAATAGGGGTGAAGGGGAGGGAGTGGGGTCATTGCAGGGGTAACAGTCAATAGGGGTGAAGGGGAGGGAGCGGGGTCATTGCAGGGGTAACAGTCAATAGGGGTGAAGGGGAGGGAGTGGGGTCATTGCAGGGGTAACAGCTAGTCGATAGGGGTGAAGGGGAGGGAGTGGGGTCATTGCAGGGGTAACAGTCAATAGGGGTGAAGGGGAGGGAGTGGGGTCATTGCAGGGATAACAGTCAATAGGGGTGAAGGGAAGGGAGTGGGGTCATTGCAGGGGTAACAGCTAGTCGATAGGGGTGAAGGTGAGGGAGCGGGGTCATTGCAGGGATAACAGTCAATAGGGGTGAAGGTGAGGGAGTGGGGTCATTGCAGGGGTAACAGCTAGTCGATAGAGGTGAAGGTGAGGGAGCGGGGTCATTGCAGGGATAACAGCTAGTCGATAGGGGTGAAGGTGAGAGAGCGGGGTCATTGCAGGGGTAACAGTCAGTAGGGGTGAAGGTGAGGGAGTGGGGTCATTGCAGGGGTAACAGCTAGTCGATAGGGGTGAAGGTGAGGGAGCAGGGTCATTGCAGGGGTAACAGTCAATAGGGGTGAAGGTGAGGGAGTGGGGTCTTTGCAGGGGTAACAGCTAGTTGATAGGGGTGAAGGGGAGGGAGTGGGGTCATTGCAGGGGTAACAGTCAATAGGGGTGAAGGGGAGGGAGTGGGGTCATTGCAGGGGTAACAGTCAATAGGGGTGAAGGGGAGGGAGTGGGGTCATTGCAGGGGTAACAGTCGATAGGGGTGAAGGGGAGGGAGTGGGGTCATTGCAGGGGTAACAGTCGATAGGGGTGAAGGGGAGGGAGTGGGGTCATTGCAGGGGTAACAGTCAATAGGGATGAAGCCGGGAGGGAGTGGGGTCATTGCAGGGGTAACAGTCGATAGGGGTGTAGGGGAGGGAGTGGGGTCATTGCAGGGGTAACAGTCGATAGGGGTGAAGGGGAGGGAGTGGGGTCATTGCAGGGGTAACAGTCGATAGGGGTGAAGGGGAGGGAGTGGGGTCATTGAAGGGGTAACAGTCAATAGGGGTGAAGGTGAGGGAGTGGGGTCATTGCAGGAGTTACAGTCGATAGGGGTGAAGGGAAGGGAGTGGGGTCATTGCAGGGGGAACAGTTGATAGGGGTGAAGGTGAGGGAGCGGGGTCATTGCAGGGGTAACAGTCGATATGGGTGAAGGGGAGGGAGTGGGGTCATTGCAGGGGTAACAGTCAATAGGGGTGAAGTGGAGGGAGTGGGGTCATTGCAGGGGTATCAGTCAAAAGGGGTGAAGGTGAGGGAGTGGGGTCATTGCAGGGGTAACAGTCAGGGGTGAAGGGGAGGGAGTGGGGTCATTGCAGGGGTAACAGTCGATAGGGGTGAAGGGGAGGGAGTGGGGTCATTGCAGGGGTAACAGTCAATAGGGATGAAGCCAGGAGGGAGTGGGGTCATTGCAGGGGTAACAGTCGATAGGGGTGAAGGGGAGGGAGTGGGGTCATTGCAGGGGTAACAGTCGATAGGGGTGAAGGGGAGGGAGTGGGGTCATTGCAGGGGTAACAGTCGATAGGGGTGAAGGGGAGGGAGTGGAGTCATTGCAGGGGTAACAAATTTTAATGAGTGGTTGACCATGGTTTCTTATTTGGTATCAATATGGGTGGATTGATGTTTATGTGTTGGAAAGATAAACTTTCAACAATATTCAGGATGAGTTAACCTTGACACATGATTCCTTAACTTCCAGCAAAGTCATTGTTCTTATCTCTAAATACCCTGTGGTTTAAGAGGAGTCTTTATTTAAGCAGCAAATACCAAATTTGAATTCTTGTGTTTGACTGAGCTGGAGATAAAATCCACAACCTCCCACACACAAGGTCACAATTCTAATTAACTAAAGACCACTGAGGCTGTTCAGAAATTTGTAGTTAGCGGCTTAATATTTGTGCTATAAAAACTGAAATTAATCAATTTAAATGATGTTGACTATATATATTCATAGTGTGTAGGATGGAATGACTTCTGTATCAGTAGGTTAATTAACTTTTATTATAATCAGCTGTGAGTGTTATTGGATACAGTATTATTATACCCCACTTTAGAAAAAGGGGCTACATTGCATTCACCCTGTCTGTCCATCTGTGAATCCAAGCTGTTCATGCAACAAATATTTTTACCCCACTCAGAAGCAACATAACACATTTAATGATTTCAGTTTTGGTCACTTGACAGTGATGATTTGTAATGTGATCTATTTTGGGAATTGTCAGATCTATAGTAGATACTTCCTGTTTGCAGATACTTTGAACTTTTCAATGAACTTAAAAATTTCCATCACACATTTCTCCAATACTAATGAACAGAATGACTTCATACTTGGTCAACATCTAAATAGTGATGATTTGTAATGTATGTTTGCTGTTTCTGATCTATCAGACACTTACTTCCGGTTTTCCAATACTTTGAATTATAACTGGGGTATGCTTAGCAAAACAACATGTTGATTTTTGTTGAGCCTGCCTAATTTATTTCGCAAAAGCAAGAAAAAGTGATCCTAGATTCCGTTATCGGTATCATCAACATTTAGGTTCAGTCTGTGGTTAAAGTTTTTTAAGACATCAATAAATTTGTCAAGCCTACATGGAATTTTATGAAATTTGGACAGAAGCTTGTTTATGACCAAAATACAGTATCGGGAGCCAAATTTTGAAAATATTTATTTTCATTTTTCCATATTTTACTGAAAAATGAACTTCGTTTTTTTTACATTTAACATTCATATTTAGTCTGAGGTTAAAGTTTTATAATCATCAATAACTTTGTCAAACCTTCCTAGAATTATATGAAACTTTTTTATGATTTGAAGAGATATTGTCTGAAGCAAACTTTTGAAAATATATTTTTAAGTTGGTTACGCTGAAGTGTGATGGTTGCGCTGAAGTGTGATGGTTACGCTGAAGTGTGATGGTTACGCTGAAGTGTGATGGTTGCGCTGAAGTGTGATGGTTACGCTGAAGTGTGATGGTTATGCTGAAGTGTGATGGTTACGCTGAAGTGTGATGGTCAGTGCATCGAAGTGTGATAGTCCTTTAGCTGATGTCTTTTAATTTTTGTGTTGGGTTGCTGTTCTGTTGATGTATACACCATATATTTTAATTATATATATATATCATGTTTATATATGTAGGACTTGTTCTGTTGATGTATACACGATATATTTTAATTATATATATATCATGTTTATGTATGTAGGACTTGGAGGTGCTATGGGGATGCTGAAGTGTGATGGTCCTTTCGCTGATGTCTTTTAAGTTTTTTGTCATATCTTGTTGCTGTCTAATGGATGTAAATCCCACATATTTTATTCATTAATATCATGTAAGATATAAGATAAACGCCATTGAGCAAAAGATTGTAATATACATCTTCCGCAGTGAATTAAATGATGGGATGAGCGTGATGTTGTCTCGTCTCCTTTCGTCATGGCCATTATAACATCAGACGTAATTACTATTAAAACCTTGACCTGAGAGAAATGAACAATCAGCAATTACACAGTTATTACATTAAAATTACTATCAGAACCTTGACCCCAGAAACTAACTGAAAAAAATCAGGATATTCGTTTCATTAATTAATCAGATTATAATCTTTCTTGTTTTTACTTAATTAACTTTTGTTACCAGAGGGCTTTTAATGCGTATTGATTTTTCAGGTTTGTGTCAGAGTTAATTAAGTTTATAACCATCTTATACCTGACTTTGTGAATTAATAAGTCCGAAAAATGATCTTTGATTATTATTCTGTTATCACATATGAAATAAATGTCGTGAGAACAATTAACTTGCATGCTGAAGTCCTCTGCTCAAATATAATACATAGAATGAAGCATTAAATAATATCAGATTAGAATATTATTATACTTGATTTGTGTGAGATTGTTCAGATTACTCTTAAATGGGAAGTCTAATCAGTTGTTGTTTATTTTATTGTCTTTTCTAAAAAATTATATTGATTGCAAATCTTAGGTGGTCTCCACTAAAATTATTTGCAAAATGTCTTGACCCAGGCAATTGAAAGCTTAGTGACATATATGGTAAAGATATATTGTTTAGTTCAGTATGTTGACTTCTAGATTTCATTTTAACTCATCTGGCCAAAGGCTTTAATTTGGCATCTATATTCTTCATCCATCTGTGATTTCAAAGGTCATCCTCAAAAATTCAAAGCCGATTTAGATAAAACTTGACATGAATGATCCTAAGGGAGTCTATATTTTAGTTTGTTAATTATCACTACTGTGGATCTATAATTATCTAATAAATTGCAAACCAAGATATACAGAGAAAATCCTACAAGGTAAAAAGTGCATAGTAAGGGGGAAATCCCGAGGTCCCGAATTTAAAGATAATTAAATCCCGACATCCCAAAATTTCGAAAAAAGAATTCCCGGATCCCGAAAGGATCAATCCCGAAATCCCGAGCTTAAAGACACCCGATCCCGGAGTCCAGATAAAGGTCCTACCCCCCTCATAGTAGATCTGAATATCTTTTTATACCCCCCTTTAATTTTTCTATTCTGGACTGTTTGGAATTAAAAGTTATAGTTGAGTTTTGTCCACAGCAAGGATCACTTCTAAATGAAGGAACTAAGGATTTTGTTGAAATCAGCATTTAAAAATGATTGCAAAAATATCAAAGTCAAAAGTAAAATTAAAATTCGACTCAAAGTTGAGTACTAGTTGTAATTTTTTTTTTTCAGTTGCAGAATTTGCCCAGCAGATGGCAGCAGCACATGAACAGTTTGCCAAGGAAGTTCAGGCAGTGATTGGTACATTTAGACGTAAAAATAATGAATTCAAATTTGAACGGTATGTGATGAAATGGTAGCTGTAATTTATTCTTTTCGATGCACAAATAATGAATTAAAGTCTGAATAGTAAATGATTATTTGTTTGCCAAGATATTCTTTCCAATTTGTTTTCCTAATATGCAAAAATAATGAATTAAATTTAAATGGTAATTGATTGATTAATTGTTTGCTAAGATAAGTACTTGCAAATTTCTTCTTAATAAAATGATGAATTCAAATTTGATTTATCTGAGTTTGAAATGAAATGAGGAGCTTTGATTTGGGCATTTTGACATTATATTAAGAATGTAGAGTTATCACTTTTATCTACTTTCATCTACTTTCATCTATACATCAATGAAACAGCAACCCAACAAAATAAATAACAAAAAGACATCAATATGTTCTTAATATCCTTGAGTCTAAACAGTTATAAATAAGCTAAGACAGATACTATCATAGAAAGATCAGCTGTTCGTAATAAATTCTCCAAATAACAATAATAAAAAGGCAAAAAGAAAACAGTAATGATATGATATAAGACAACCTAACGAGGTTCCTGATTGTGACATATGATAGCGTTGTCTGTTTGTCATTGACATATGAGTGTGAATATCACTTTGGTGTCTTCAGCCTCTCTTTAACTGAAAGCAGACTTAAAGTACTGAACATGCTGATGCATTATAATTTGAGCAATGTTTTCAGAGGCTTTGTAGTTCTATTCAATGAACAGATGATCTGTTATTTGACATTTGCATAATTAAATTTCAATACGGCTCATCACTTTAGCAGTCAGATCTGTTGAATAGTGACGCCAAATTTTTTTTTGAAAGTGTTATAATTTGACGTTTGTTGTCAGAGTTTTCTATCCTTATTTGATTTTATTGACAAGTTGACATAAGGAAAGCATGTTTGACATTCAGGCTTGGAGAATTAGATGTGAAAGTTAAATGTCAACATAATAGTAACAATACGTTAGAGTATAGTATGTACCAGTTAATGACAAGTACGGAGGAACATGATTTGTAATTTTCTCACCAAATATTACATAAGATATACTGATATGGATATATTTACACCAACAGAAATAGTAAATTATTGGTACAATGTTTAATACGTTAAGTTCTCAATTTTAATTTTTTGTTGTTGCACTATTATGAAGTACAGTATTTGACTTTAAAAAAGTTTCTGTTGTCAATAGTGCCCCTTCCTAATAACTGTGTCCTTTATAAAAAAGTAATTTGCTGAAGAGAAACAAAGATTGAAACAAATCTGTATGTAGGTATATTTTGTCTTTATTTCTGTTTGGTTTTCTTGTTGCTGCATTGTACTGTTGCTGTATAAAAATTCCATCACTGCACTTGTAACAATTGTTACATTTCAGACCAGTAGACTCACCTTCATCTATACAGAAAGCTTGGGAATCACTTCTTCATGAGACAGAAATGGATGCACAGGTAAGTCTGGGAATTACTTCTTCATGAGACAGAAATGGATGCACAGGTAAGTCTGGGAATCACTTCTTCATGAGACAGAAATGGATACACAGGTAAGTCTGGGGATCACTTCTTCATGAGACAGAAATGGATGCACAGGTAAGTCTTGGAATCACTTCTTCATGAGACAGAAATGGATGCACAGGTAAGTCTTGGAATCACTTCATGAGGCAGAAATGGATGCACAGGTAAGTCTGGGAATCACTTCTTCATGAGACAGAAATGGATGCACAGGTAAGTCTGGGAATCACTTCTTAATGAGGCAGAAATGGATGCACAGGTAAGTCTTGGAATCACTTCATGAGGCAGAAATGGATGCACAGGTAAGTATGGGAATCACTTCTTCATGAGACAGAAATGGATGCACAGGTAAGTCTGGGGATCACTTCTTCATGAGACAGAAATGGATGCACAGGTAAGTCTGGGGATCACTTCTTCATGAGACAGAAATGGATGCACAGGTAAGTCGGGAATCACTTCTTCATGAGACAGAAATGGATGCACAGGTAAGTCTGGGAATCACTTCTTCATGAGACAGAAATGGATGCACATGTAAGTCTGGGGATCACTTCTTCATGAGACAGAAATGGATGCACAGGTAAGTCTGGGGATCACTTCTTCATGAGACAGAAATGGATGCACAGGTAAGTCGGGAATCACTTCTTCATGAGACAGAAATGGATGCACAGGTAAGTCTGGGAATCACTTCATGAGGCAGAAATGGATGCACAGGTAAATCTTGGAATCACTTCTTCATGAGACAGAAATGGATGCACAGGTAAGTCTGGGAATCACTTCTTCATGAGACAGAAATGGATGCACAGGTAAGTCTGGGAATCACTTCTTCATGAGACAGAAATGGATGCACAGGTAAGTCTGGGGATCACTTCTTCATGAGACAGAAATGGATGCACAGGTAAGTCTGGGAATCACTTCTTAATGAGGCAGAAATGGATGCACAGGTAAGTCTTGGAATCACTTCATGAGGCAGAAATGGATGCACAGGTAAGTATGGGAATCACTTCTTCATGAGACAGAAATGGATGCACAGGTAAGTCTGGGGATCACTTCTTCATGAGACAGAAATGGATGCACAGGTAAGTCTGGGGATCACTTCTTCATGAGACAGAAATGGATGCACAGGTAAGTCGGGAATCACTTCTTCATGAGACAGAAATGGATGCACAGGTAAGTCTGGGAATCACTTCTTCATGAGACAGAAATGGATGCACATGTAAGTCTGGGGATCACTTCTTCATGAGACAGAAATGGATGCACAGGTAAGTCTGGGGATCACTTCTTCATGAGACAGAAATGGATGCACAGGTAAGTCGGGAATCACTTCTTCATGAGACAGAAATGGATGCACAGGTAAGTCTGGGAATCACTTCATGAGGCAGAAATGGATGCACAGGTAAATCTTGGAATCACTTCTTCATGAGACAGAAATGGATGCACAGGTAAGTCTGGGAATCACTTCTTCATGAGACAGAAATGGATGCACAGGTAAGTCTGGGGATCACTTCTTCATGAGACAGAAATGGATGCACAGGTAAGTCGGGAATCACTTCTTCATGAGACAGAAATGGATGCACAGGTAAGTCGGGAATCACTTCTTCATGAGACAGAAATGGATGCACAGGTAAGTCTGGGGATCACTTCTTCATGAGACAGAAATGGATGCACAGGTAAGTCGGGAATCACTTCTTCATGAGACAGAAATGGATGCACAGGTAAGTCTGGGAATCACTTCATGAGGCAGAAATGGATGCACAGGTAAATCTTGGAATCACTTCTTCATGAGACAGAAATGGATGCACAGGTAAGTCTGGGAATCACTTCTTCATGAGACAGAAATGGATGCACAGGTGAGGCTGGGAATCTTTTTCATTATACATATACATATTTAACCAACACCACCATCCTTAAAGGTATAATATAAAAGTAAGATGATTACCCCTTGACAACTCTCCAGCAGAGACCTAATGATGTAGAAGTTATCAACTGTAGCTGTCACTGTACGGCCTTCAACAAGGAGCAAAACATGTTCTGTACAGTATGCTATAGGAGGCCCCGCAATAACAAATGTAAAACAAAGCACTGAGTTACAGGCTCCACACTTGGGACAGGCACATACAGAACGTGATGGGGTTCCTTATGTTAGCAGGTTCCCAACCCTCCCCCTATAGACCTTGGACAGTGGTGCAACAGAAAAACGCAAGAACTGTACAAAACAATAACAAAAGCAAATATGATAAAGAGCAACAAATGACAACCACTCACTGAGGCTCCTGACTTGGGACAGGTGTATATGTAAAATGTGGCGGGTTACACATGTCCAACCCTTCTCCTAACCTGGGACAGTGGTGTTACAATACAATGTTACAACAAACTATAAAATTAGTGGAAAAGGGCTTAACTCGTCAGTTAAATAGAGAATAGAAATGGGGGAAAGTGTCAAAAATACAACAACCCGACCAAAGAGCAGATAACAACCCAAGGCCACCTATGGGTCTTCAACACAGCGAGAAAATCCCACACCTGTAGGCGGGCTTCAGCTGTCCTCTAAACAATGAGGTAAGCAAAAAATAATGTAAAGCAAAAATGGTTATCACTTTGAAATGAGACTATGACATATGATGGAAATTAGACTAAAATATTTTTGATCGGGGAAAATTGATTCAGTGGGAAAATTTGAGCAGTATTTTAGAAATGGCGATATTAAAAAAGAATATAAGAGTTTTGGCAATACCTTATCTGTCCCCCCCCCCCCCCAAAAAAAAAAAAAAATTACCATTAAACATAAAAAACACCATCAACTTAAAAAAATTGAACCCTCCTTATCAGTTATCTTCACATAACTATATGTCAGTTAACCCATAGAGTAATCACAAATAACAATGGAGAAATAAATGTTATCTTTTCTATGATGTAATTTTGTTTTCTACATGGATAGCTGCCGAATAGAGCGTGACTTTCAAAAGTATCTGTTTCATCTAATTATGAAAAAATTAAATAGTAGTACATGTAACATCCAGTTTATTCCCAGATGGGTTGATGCTAATTAATGTTTAATTCTGATTTCTATAAAACAGTTGTCGATACAGACAGGCTTGTCACAATAGAATTTAAATTTGTGTTGAGTTTTTGGTGATGGTAGACTGAGAAGATATGTCTAGAAAGTACAAAATGTATTGGTATTGATTCATAGCTTTGGTGATTCTAAATAGTTATATATTAAATTTAGTAGCTCAGTTTATAGAAAAATTAAATGAGGCTGTAAAAAACCGTTAACAGACATTGAGACATTGTCTTGGTAGGAGGAGTAGTCTTTCTTGAGAGGGGTCTTATTAAAGGTGGACCACTTGTATTCTTTTATCATAGTCCTGACTCTACCTCTATTTTTTTCTAGGAACACCAAGATGATGCGTATCTTTAAAAAGAAATGGCCTTATTCCATCTTTTTAGCTCACCTGGCTGAAAGGCCAAGTGAGCTTTTCTCATCACTTGGTATCTGTCGTCTTCGTTAACTTTTGCAAAAATCTTCTCTTCTGAAACTACTGGGCCAAATTTAACAAAACTTGGCCACAATCATCATTTGGGTATCTAGTTTAAAAAATTTGATGCTAAGCAAAAATGATCAACAAGACAAGATCTACAAATAATTAACATGACCAAAATCGTTAGTCAACACCTTATTGAAGTTATTGCCCTATAATGACGATTTTCCCATTATTGCCAATTATATTAAAAGCTGTTATAGATAGATAGAAACAAATGATAAGCAAGACAAGATCTACAAATAAGCCAAAATGGCCTAAATCTTCAGTAGACTCGTTTTGGAGTTATTGCCCTTTAATGATAATTTTTTACAATTTTTTGCATTTTTTGCATATTATCTTGGAAACTATAATAGGTAAATAGAAACTTTGAAAAAGGAAACTTATCAGCAGGATAAGATCTACAGATATGTCAGTATTACTGAAATTGTCAGTTAACTCTTAATAGAATTGTTCCCCTTTGATGCTGACTTTTACTAAAAAAATGACCATTGTTGTAGATGAAGGTGAGAGACACAGGCTCTTTAGAGCCTCTTGTTTATTTCTTAGCTCACCTAGATGATACAAGTCTCTTATTTAACTAACTCTGTGCTTCTTTTTCAATGCATGCCATAAAGGATAAATATAAAAATAAGATTTGATTTGATTTTTGGTGTTTTAATGCCACTTTTGAGCACAGCTTTTGGGCTATTTCGTGGCAGCCAGTTTTTATTGGTGGAGGAAGCTGGAGTACATGGAGAAAACCACCTTCCTTCGATAGGAAAACTGACAATCCTAGTCAATTAAGATTGGAGTCAAGTGCACCCGCGGGGTTCGAACTCACAACCTCAGTGATTACAGTAGTAACTACTTAGACCACTCGGCCACCGAGGCCCCTATAAAAATAAGAAGATTGCCAATGAGACAACTATCAACCAGATTTTCCATGAAACACCTTAAAGATACCAAGGTGCAGAAAGCTACCATATAAAGAATGAAATTAATCCAACTTTTTGTTTTCAAATGGAGGTTCAAGTCTCAGTTTGAAGAATAACTTAATTTTTTACCTCTCTTTCTATTGGCACACCTGGATGCTACAAGCCTCAATGTGAAGATTGACCTAATTTTTAACCTTTCTATCTATAGGCACACCTGGATGCTGCAAGTCTACTTATAAATAATGTGTATAAACCTTTGGAAGAAGTGGCCATACACAAACAGAGTCAGGCTCATAAACTCAACAACTTCAGAGACAAGTTTGAAGAAATGTTGCAGAAAGTGGAAAACCAGATTGATAATGTAAGATTTAATGGAGGCCGATATAAATGGCAGTACCTCATTGGGATTTAGGGTATTTTTGGTAGTTACATTTACATGGAGATTGTTTGACTCTGTACCTTCAGTCATGGTTCATTGACTTTGGATATTTTTTTGTGTTAAGTATTGCTATTTTATTTTCAACATTTGCATTTAACTATCAAAATTAAAAAAAAGGCCAGACATATATCTGTGTTAACAGTTAATTTCTTACTAGGAATACAATCATGGATAATGATCTTTGTTAAAAATCATAAACTACCGGTATGTTTTTTAACATGTTTAAAGATAGGATTTCAAAAAAAATTTATATATAGGTATAGAATAATAAGCTATTCCAAATTGATTGAAGGTGCCAAAAAATAAAAAACTAATTGTGGTATTAACATACGTTTTGTTAACAAATTTGTGAAACATCATTTTATGCTAGGATTTCCATATAAATTGAAAATTAGGTATGATATGCTGTTCCAAATAGTGATTCTTAGTGTGGAATATGGAGTATAGATAGGTTTGGAATGACATCATTTGAATTTGAGCTATTTCCCTTGGCTGTCATTTTGGAGGGAGATCCTTACTCGATCATAGTGATGAGTTAAGTAAGGCTAAAAGAAATAAAAATTGTTCAGAAATACTCTGTTTCTTCATTCTAACAGTCAGACTCAGTATAACAATTTGAATTTGGCTGTTTTATGAAGGAATTTATGCACTTAGACCTCTATCAGGCACAAAAGGGAAGTAACTCTTGGTTAAATTGCGTCAGTCAAGATCTATTTATTTACTTACTGTTTGTATTAAAAAATAACAAATTTTGAAAAACTTTTTTTTTAGGTGGTTTTCAACAAAAATTGATATATATTTATAATATGCTCTCCAAATTGATTCTCCTTGTCAAATTGTGGTAAAAAGAGATGAATTTTTTTTTTTTTAACGAGCAGTGGTGATCAGCAAGACAAGATCTACAAATAGGTCAACATGACCTTAATCATTAATCCACTCCTCATAATAAGAGTTATTAGCCCTTTTCTCATGTTTAGCTATCAACTTAAAAAATAGAATTAATATGCCAAACTGTAAACAATAAAAAAATATTTAAACTTGGTCTTAAAATGATCAAAAGTCAGACGTTAATGTTTTCTGAAGTAAATCATCAAACAATAGGTTTGATTTAATTTATTAGGAACAGTGCGCAAAATTTAAATTTAAATACTTTATTTTCTACAGGAACTAAAATTTCATTAAATAGCTCCCCATATACCTGGTGTATCCCTTTGACGTTTCCAGCTTTTTGTTGTGAATGCTCATGTTGTAGATAGATTGAAAAATGTCATGAAATCTGATTGAATTATTTCCCTTTGTACAAATTGCAAAATCTGATTCTTGGGCGAATTACAATTTGATGTTTTTACAGTTTTATCTATTTGTAACTTCATTCATCCCTTTACTCAAAATGTTACCTTTTTACTGAAAGTCAAGATATATACAATTATTTTCAATGATTATTTTTGAGATTAAGTAAAAACCAATAAATGTAGGGTTATGATACCAAATCCTTATTTCTAACACACATATTCTGTTTTTTCAGGCAGAGAAAGATTACATAGTTGCTTACAATCAATATGAAGATTGTCATATTAACAAATCCATGCTGTACAATGCACACAACGAATACATTTTCCAGCTTCGGGCTTCCAATAGAAGTATAGACCAATTTCAGATAGCCATTCCGCAAGTTTTAGAGGTATATATGTTATATTAGAGAGAGAGGGAGTTACAGGCTTCAAATAGAAGTATAGACAGAGAAAGAGAGAACAAAGAAAACCAAAGATTGAGCCAACACAAACCCCCCCCCCCCCCCCCCCCCAAAAAAAAAAAAAATCGGGGGTGATATCAGATGATCCAGCATTTTCCAGTGAAAAGTCCAGTATTACACAAAATTCACCTTATACCAATCCAAGGTTATCATTCAATAGGTTTCAATGATTAATAATAAAGTTTATGATGCTCATTCATCTAAAAATAAAAAATAAAAACAGCAAAAAAACAACTAGATAACAAATTATTCCAAGTTTTGCAAAAAATAAATTTCACATTGTTGATTTATAAATATGAATTACTTCCCCTTCCTCACTGTTTGAATTAATCATCAATTTATTTGTGTGCATAAAGCTACCCCAATAATATTTTTTTAGAACAAAAAGTGTAGTTAGACATGCATAGTTATTTTCACAAAATATTTAGAAGTGCAGTCTGTAGTAAGTTCTCAGCAGTTTAGTATAACTTATGATCAATTTATTTGTAAGAGTAACGGCAAAAGAACTTCTAAATATTTTTGGCATAATAACTTTAGTCTGAAGATTATTTATTTTTCAGTGTTTTTCTTTTATTTCAGGAATTAGAAGAAATCTACATAGATACTAGTAACACAATCAATGTAGCTATAGAAAGTCACGCGTTATTACTTCTGACAAAGGTATATCAGTGTGTTCGTGTTTGTGTTTGTTTTTGTGTTTGCGTTTGTGTTTGTTTGTGTGTTTGTTTTTGTTTTTGTGTTTGTGTTTGTGTTTGAGTTAGTATGGGCATCTGAACATTCACTTAATAAAAAAGAATAAAGAGATGTGGTATGATTGCCAATGAGACAACTATCTACCAGGAGATGTGGTATGATTGCCAATAAGACAACTATCCACCAGGAGATGTGGTATGATTGCCAATGAGACAACTATCCACCAGGAGATGTGGTATGATTGCCAATGAGACAACTATCCACCAGGAGATGTGGTATGATTGCCAATGAGACAACTATCCACCAGGAGATGTGGTATGATTGCCAATGAGACAACTATCCACCAGGAGATGTGGTATGATTGCCAATGAGACAACTATCCACCAGGAGATGTGGTATGATTGCCAATGAGACAACTATCCACAAAGACAAAAGGTTGAGAATATAAACAACTGTAGGTCAATATTTTACAAAACTCATCTGTAGGTCAAATTTTCACTAAAATAAGGTCTTTTTAAATACTCAATAAATCATAAGATATAAAAATAAGAAGATGTGGTATGTATACATATAGTTGTTAACTTCTATGTCACTTGAAACTGGTAAAGAGTTGTTTCATTGGCAATTATACCACATCTTCTTATTTTTATATGATTTCAAATAGGACAACTCTCCGCCAGAGACCAAATGACCTAGAAGGTTAGCAAACCCATACCTCATAGCAAGCTATAAAAGGTCTCGAAATGACAACTGTTCAAAAGTTTACTGATTGAAAATTAATATTTGTTGAAGTATATATGAAATAAAATGAGATATGTGATATAAATCTATGAGACAGCAACACAGAATACTTAAAGTGCTTAATTTGCTGTGTCATCTTCCACTTGTGTATTGACCTCTATCCTTTCTATTAGATATCATATAGCAAAGAGATGACCATATGACCATTTCATAAAGAAACTTAATGTTGTGCAAGGCCCAAGTAAACTTGTGTACAGAATATTTCATTAGGTTATCGGTAATTTATCTATTAAATATTTCAGGCTAATGAACAGCATCGAAGATTTGAAGATTTGTTACAGATCTGTCGTCAAGTCAACCCTCAGCTTGATGTTTCTTACTTTGTAAACGCTTTGAACCCTGAATGTGCCAAGTTTGAACTTAAGCATCATAAGTTTCACCCATTAGATGGCACTGAGAATGAGGTAAGTGTGTGAAAACTTTACATACATCAACCTAACAATGAAAATGAAGTAAGTGTGTGAAAACTTTACATACATCAACCTAACAATGAAAATGAAGTAAGTGTGAGAAAACATTACATACATCAACCTAACAGTGAGAATGAGGTAAGTGTGTGAAAACTTTAAATACATCAACCTAACATTGAGAATGAGGTAAGTGTGTGAAAACTTTAAATACATCAACCTAACATTGAGAATGAGGTAAGTGTGTGAAAACTTTACATACATCAACCTAACATTGAGAATGAGGTTAGTGTGTGAAAACTTTAAATACATCAACCTAACATTGAGAATGAGGTAAGTGTGTGAAAACTTTAAATACATCAACCTAACATTGAGAATGAGGTAAGTGTGTGAAAACTTTAAATACATCAACCTAACATTGAGAATGAGGTAAGTGTGTGAAAACTTTAAATACATCAACCTAACATTGAGAATGAAGTAAGTGTGTGAAAACTTTACATACATCAACCTAACAGTGAGAATGAAGTAAGTGTGTGAAAACTTTACATACATCAACCTAACACTGAGAATGAGGTAAGTGTGTGAAAACGTTACATACATCAACCTGACAGTGAAAATGAAGTAAGTGTGAGAAAACGTTACATACATCAACCTAACAGTGAGAATGAAGTAAGTGTGTGAAAACTTTACATACATCAACCTAACAGTGAGAATGAGGTAAGTGTGAGAAAACCTTAAATACATCAACCTAACAATGAAAATGAAGTAAGTGTGAGAAAACGTTACATACATCAACCTAACATTGAGAATGAGGTTAGTGTGTGAAAACTTTAAATACATCAACCTAACATTGAGAATGAAGTAAGTGTGTGAAAACTTTACATACATCAACCTAACAGTGAGAATGAAGTAAGTGTGTGAAAACTTTACATACATCAACCTAACACTGAGAATGAGGTAAGTGTGTGAAAACGTTACATACATCAACCTGACAGTGAAAATGAAGTAAGTGTGAGAAAACGTTACATACATCAACCTAACAGTGAGAATGAAGTAAGTGTGTGAAAACTTTACATACATCAACCTGACAGTGACAATGAAGTAGGTGTGTGAAAACTTTACATACATCAACCTAACACTGAGAATGAAGTAAGTGTGTGAAAACTTTACATACATCAACCCAACAGTGAGAATGAAGTAAGCGTGTGAAAACTTTAAATACATCAACCTAACAGTGAGAATGAGGTAAGTGTGAGAAAACTTTACATACATCAACCTAACAGTGAAAATGAAGTAAGTGTGAGAAAACGTTACATACATCAACCTAACAGTGAGAATGAAGTAAGTGTGTGAAAACTTTACATACATCAACCTGACAGTGACAATGAAGTAGGTGTGTGAAAACTTTACATACATCAACCTAACACTGAGAATGAAGTAAGTGTGTGAAAACTTTACATACATCAACCCAACAGTGAGAATGAAGTAAGCGTGTGAAAACTTTACATACATCAACCTAACAGTGAGAATGAAGTAAGTGTGTGAAAACTTTACATACATCAACCTAACAGTGAGAATGAATTAAGTGTGTGAAAACTTTACATACATCAACCAAACAGTGACAATGAAATAAGAGTGCATACATCATTCCAATATCTTTTTCTTCCCTTCATTTTAAATACCAACCGTATTGGCAATAGATTTCTTTCAGGCATTGAAATGTTTGTCATAGTAATTTTACAGAAATTCAGTTACTTTTTGCTAATTGTGACAACAGATAGGGAAGCTGTCTCCTTGTGTCATTGTTGTCATACATGTCACACACACTTTGTTCATCTGCAAATTCTTTGAAAACAGCTTGAAACCAACCTTACTTTAACAGATTTTTCTACAGGAATTGAACTTTTGAACCTGCTAATTTCATTCTTGATCTGATTGATTTTTGGGGTTTTCATAACAAATCCATTTCTGCAGCTGGTATTTTGAGTTATCTGCAATTTGTACATTTTCCCTTTGTTCTTACTGCCTAATATTTTCAAGATCATGGACAGGACTTGATACTCAAAAATGTTAGGCAATGACGTCATGTGTCAGTGCAGCAACGTGTTCATGTCCATCCGCATCAATTTATCAATGAAATGCATGCAACTTCATTCGTACAACCAAACAACTATCACAACATTTTGTATGGGTAAAAATAGTTTTACTAACTATTTCATGTGATTTCATATTTTCAATCAAAAAAACATACATTTAAGACAAATTGCAGATAAAGAGAATAATGGCATTTTTCTTTCTGATACTGACTTTATCAGCTCGCCCTATCGACTCACTTGATGTTCTTGCAGATAAAGTCAGTATCAAAAACAAAAATGCCATTATTCTGTATATGGTAGGAAACACAAGTCTTCCTTTGAAGATTCAACTCTTTTTTATGCTTTTAACTTGGGTACTCAATTTCATGCCTTGGTTTTTGGAGGAACACCTAATCTCACCTGGTTCAAAGAGCAAATGAGGTATTGACATCTCTTCTAAAAATACTCATTTAAGTTTACTACTCTATTTCAAACTTAATCTTGCTTTAGTTATCTTATGATTTCAAAATTTTATCTGATATTCTGCTAACTAACCAACATTGCTGCTGTGATTTAAAAAGAATAAAACTCTGTACCAGATATAATATGCTACAAATCTTGTAAATGTCCAAAGATTTTTTAAAACTTAGGAAATGATGTGTTCATGATCAACTTCATGAGTTAATTTGGGTTGATTTCAACCTTTATGAAAAATAGAAAATAATTTGAATTCCATAACAAAAATCAGATTATTTCTGTAAAAAGCCAGTTATTTTCAGATTGTTATGAAATGAAATGAAAATGAATGTGTCTCTTACTTAAAACAAAAAAGTTTGAAATTTCTTTGATTTCTTTTGTACTTTTGTTAAATTTTTTGCATTGAATACTCTCCATACATTTCTTTGAAAACATAAGTTTCTTGCCATCTCTTTTTATCAAACATATCTATGTAAAAAGAAATAGACCAAACTTATATTTAGCTCACCTACCCAGAGTTCAATGTTGTTGTTGTTCATCATTGTAGTCTGTTGTCTTAAAATGGAAAGAAATCTTCTCCTCTGAAACTGCTGGGCCAAATGTTCCTTAGGGAATCTAGTTAAACAATTTTATTAGAGGATTTGTTCCATCAGCAAACATGACCACTGTTGCAAAAGACAGAACACAGTGGTCAATTGCAGTTTTTGGCTTATATCTCATAAACTAAAGCAGTAAGAGCAAAACAGACTGGATTAATATGATCAGCAGGTCAAGTTCCATCTCACTATCTACCTCAGACTACCTTATTTGGAGTTATTGCTCCTGAATTTTTTTTTTTTTTTTTTTTTTTTTTAGCAAAGTTAACATTTTTTCGGTTTTTATCTTGAAAACTATTACCGTATATAAGAGACAAACTTTATATAGTAAAAATGGCCAGAACAATAAGATCCACTAATTAGTAAATATGGCCTTAATTGTCAATTGACAGCTTATAAGAGTTAAAACCCTTGAAAGACAATTTTTTTGTTGTTAAATTTTTGCAGAAACTTTAATAGACAGAAAAACTGAATGTAACAAAAAAGTTCAGCAAATTACATAAAAGTGAAGATGGTCTTGATTGTGAACCAACTTCTTATAGGAGTTATTGCTCCTAAGGTTGATTTTTACTCATTATTTGCATTTTGGTCAAAAACTTTAGTACATGTAGATAGATAGAAACTTTAACAAGCAAAAATAATTAGCAACATAAGATCTATAAATAAGTAAACATGGCTGAAATTGTCAGACTTCTTATAGGATTTATTGCCATTGAAAAACCATTTTATTACTAATTTTTATAAATAATTTTGCCATTTACATTGAAAACTTTAATAGGTGGGTAGAAATTGTAACTGTTAAGAATTATCATCAATACAAGATCTACAAAAATGCCACTAAATATGATTTGTTAATAAGCAAACATAACTGATTGCAATAAAGGTTTAAACAAATATCAAAATGGCATATTTTTACAAGGGGAGCAATTTAGGCACATAGGGGATTCTTATTTTATATTTTAAAAATTTGAAGAAAATCTTACTCCAACAGAAAGAGCTTGATTGCATGACTTAATGTTTGAATCATCTATAATTTGAGGATTAATGTTTTCTATTTTCATTTCCAAATAATTATTTGAAAGGTAATTAATGTCAATCATATGTCTTAAGATAAACAGACAATTGACTATGTCAGTTTGAATGCATTAAAGGATCTGTATCTATAATCTACAGTAGGCTCCAGCTGATCTCATCAAAAATAAATAATTTTTACATCAGATATTTACTTAAATTTAACAGTATGAAATTGGAGGTTCAAGTTGAGGTTTGCACCTAATACACATCTTTTGGATGAAATTTCACTGCATTTTAAAATTCATTTGACATTATTGAAAGGGATTATCTGGATCAGTTGATAATAAGACACTTGTTGGATTCAACTTCAACATTATAAACAGCTTTATTTTCACAGATTTTGTGTTTTAAGAAGATAGAGCCTCTCTGTAATTTTTCTGATAAAACATTGTACTTGGTGGCATACTTTGATTATTTACAATGTTTCTGGTACTAAGCCATATCTGTTTATTAAGGTTAATTGAATCTTTAATTAATGTGAAGATAAAAGTTTTCTCCAGGTGTAGGAACTTCAAATGTTTATATATGTAGGTCTTGTTGACTGATCTATCACAGTTTGGTGTACTTAACAACGTTGAAATTGTAATTATGTATATCAAATAATATTTTGACTCTCCATTATTTCTATGGTATAAAATTGATGTTATGTACAAAAATGTAATTTGCCTTTAAATGAAAAAATAAATTAGTTTTTAAGTGATGTTGATAGATTCTATTTTAATTAAGTACACTTGCATATAGTTCCAGTATAAATCAATTTTTATCAAATATGAAAAATTGCATTTAAATTTTGAAAGGTAATTATACCCCAAGCATCGAAGTTTCGTAGGGTATAATGTTTTTGACCTGTTTGTCCTTCAGTCCGTCAGTCAGTCAGTCATTCCGTCAGTCTGTCAATCAGTCCTGTTCTTGTCGTCACAACTCCTATGAATCCACACCACAGAATTTCATGAAACTATGTAGATTTATATAGGACATACAATGTAGATGTGCATATCAGCAGGAAGTTATGATTCATTTTTAGCTCACCTGGCCCCATCACTTGACATCCATCGTCTGTTCTCATCGTCGTATTCTGTCTTCCATTCACTTTTACAAAGATCATCTCCTCAGAAACTCTTAAGCCAAATTTAACCAAACTTGGCCACAATCATCATTGGGGTATCTAGTTTTAAAAATGTGTCCCATGACCCTGTCTGCCAAAGATGGCTGACATGGCTAAAAATAGAACATAGGGGTAAAATTAAGTTTTGTCTATTTTGAAAACCACTATTAATAGAGAAAATTTTACAGAAGCTGAAATGTTCAGAATGTTAAGCTCTACCTATTACCTATTCACTTCAAAACTGTCAGACAATTTCTTATTGGAGTTATTTCCCTAAAATGACGATTTTTTTTCTACTTTTTTTTCATTTTGCCTATTATCTTGAAAACTATAATATATTGAGAGAAACTTTAAACAGCAAAACTGATCAGCAAGACAAGATCTTCAAATAAGTCAACAAAGAGAGGAAATCGTCAAATTGCCTCCTTATTAGAGTTATTGCCCTTTATGAGCGACACAGGCTCCTTAGAGCCTCTAGTTTTTTTCTAGGAGTTATGCCACTTTGAACTTAGAACTTTGGCCTTACTATTCTACTGCAACAGTTTGTCATCTCAACTCCATTAAAACCACATAACAGAATATCCTGAAACTTTGTAATTAACGAGGACATAATATGTAGATTTATCGCACCGGGGGTAAATTATCACGTTGTGATTGGTTTAACGCCGTCACGTGGTGACCCCCTATGGATCCGTAGGGGGTTAGTAAATTCCATAGTGGGTTCATGACGTCACGTCTACTGTTAATGGTGACGTCATCTATTGATGTTTTTGTACTTCATTGTTTATTTTTCTACAAAACGCTGCAGAAAAAGTATCGCGTGCGATAAATTCGTTATACGGTTAACTACTGACCCCCTACAGACCATAGAGGGTGAATAAAATCCATAGGAGATTCGGCCTCCGGGCTCACCCCCTATGGATTTTACTAACCCTCTATGGATCCGTAGGGGGTCAGTAGCGAACCATATAACTTATAGTGGAAGACAAGATCTACAATCAGGACAAATTCTGCCAGGAAAGTTTGTAGAGTGATTGCCCTTCAATGATGATTTTTTTTTTACCCTCTTTTGTGTTTTGAGCAAAAACTAATAAAGATACAGAGAAAATGTAAACAGTAGTCTACAATGTTGAAGATGCACATAGACCTAAATGAGTGACACAGGCTTCATAGAGCCTCTAGTTTTTTTTCTTCAAAATTATGAAGTTATCATTTACAAGTTTACTTAACTGTTGAATTTGCTCAAATTAACCAAAAAAAAATTACTCTACCAGAATAATGTCTATGTAAGTAAAACATTTTTACCAAGTCAAGTTTCATGTTTATCTCTAAAGAGAGCTTTAAACAACTGCATTGAATAAAGCATTTGTAAATAAATATTTTATTGTAACAAATTGTCCATGTCAAGCAATTTATCAATGAAATATATACTCATATTTCTCAGTTACAATATGATATGTATGTGTATAACAGTGCTTTTCAAGAAAACTTTTGTTGGAAAAAAGGAAGATAACTCTAATTAAAAATACTGCCTAAATGTGTTCCATTGCTTGCTAATAATATAATACAATGTTTAATTTATTTTCATATTGCTAATTAAAGCAATATTTGCCTTTCAGTGCCAACAAGTATGTTAAATTAAAATAAAATTGCTTCAGTATCTTTTGTTCAATAACTCATTAATAATTTTTCAGTGCTTTAAGTTCAGAAATTCTGACTATGTACATTTAAAACCAAGTTGATTTTTTTTTCTTCAGGACTGTACTTGCCTATGTCAAAACCAATTAATCATTGACAAATCTACAGATATGGCTTTGCTAGAAAAAAGAACTTTACTTCAACGAGAGGCTGCGGAGCTTACGTCATACATCACACAGAACCAGGATATATCACATTCATTAGTCAATATATGTCAAAGGTAATTATTGATTAAAGTAATATATGTCAGAGGTCATTAGTTGATACATGCCAAGTGTAAACTATGGTAAAAAATGACTTCTTATAGGAGTGATTGCCTTTAAATGATGACTTTTGACTAATTTTAGTATTTTTGCCTTTTTGCCATTCAAACTATTATAGTCAGAATGACAGAAACTGTAAACACCAAATATCAAGGCTAAATATGCAGATAAGCCACAAAACTGAAACTCTGAATTGATTGCTTATTGAAGTTATTGCCCTTTAATGATGATTTTAATTTTTTTGTAAAGTATAATATTCTTAAATTTGAAAATTGCGATAATTTAAATGGTATCAAATATTATAATGACTGCAGCTTTATAGGGAGCAATTTGATTTGGGGAGGGTGAGGGAGGGGGATGGCTTTGAAGATTTTGAAAATAGATTTCTTGATTCTTATTTTCTCTAAGATAAATTATGTGATCCTGGGACTGAAGAAAAGAAATAAATTAATGGCTTTAATTTGAATGCACCAGAACTTGTAATGTAAACTTGTCTGTACTGATCACCCAGTGTTCTACGTAATGGAGTGAGGTTAAACCTGCAATTTGTAGCACAATTTGGAACAGACATGGCACTGCAAGTTATACTAGCTTTAACTACAATGAACTATCTACTCAGCAAGATGGCAGATATGGAACAATGTTTGTCAATGTCAGTTAAACATCATAGACCTGGAGTTTTTCTACAAGCCCTGAAATATTTTTTTTAGTTATTGCCCTTCTTGCCCTTTGACAGATAAAATATAGATAATATAGGCAGGAGACATTAGAATTCCGTTCTTTCATTTTTATAGAATAACTTTAATTTTAAGGATTTTAATTTTTTTACCCCACTACTCTTTTTTTTAAAAGAATAACTTCGTGTTTAGGACTTTTATTTTTTTTGGCCACACTACAATAGTCTTTTTTTGATAGAATATCTTGCATGCCTAGGACTTTTATTTTTTGACCTTGCTGTTATCTTACTTGAATGAATAATTGTTAACATATGTAGGGATTTTATTTTTTTAACCATATAGTAACTGTCATGTCTAAGGCTTTTGTTATTTGGCCACACTATCACTTTACTTTAACAAAAAAACTGTCATGTCTAAAGCTTTGTTATTTGGCCACACTATCATCTTACTTTAACAAAATAACTGTCATGTCTAAGGCTTTTGTTATTTGGCCATACTATCACCTTACTTTAACAAAATAACTGTCGTGTCTAAGGCTTGAAATAACTGTCATGTCTAAGGCTTTTATTATTTAGCCACACTATCACTTTACTAAATAATAAAAATAACTGTCATGTTTAAGGCTTTTATTATTTAGCCACACTATCACCTTACTAAATAACAAAATAACTGTCATGTTTAAGGCTTGAAATAACTATCATGTCTTAGGCTTTTGTTATTTGGCCACACTATCACCTTACTTTAACAAAATAACTGTCATGTCTAAGGCTTAAAATAACTGAAGTCTAAGGCTCTTGTTATTTGGCTACACTATCACCTTACTTTAACAAAATAACTGTCATGTCTAAGGCTTAAAATAACTGAAGTCTAAGGCTCTTGTTATTTGGCCACACTATCATCTTACGTAAATAGAACAGCTCTCATGCCTAGAGCTTTTATTTTATGACTACGCTGTAGTCTTACTTGACAGAAGAACTTTTCATGTCTCACTCAGGGCTTTAGAATATTTACTCACTATTATTCAAACTTAAATAAGGCTGAAAGTGCAATACTTTTGAGAAAACAAAATAATGAGTTTGACATTTTGTGAAATAGCAAATTTATAAACAAATACAAAAATTATAGATCAATGGACAATAATGAAATAAAAGTTATATCAGATTGAAGCTGTAATTATTTTTATTTGTTTGCACTGGCAAAATCAGAAAAACATTTTAATGAGAAATAAATACTTAACCATTTATTCCTGTGACATATTATGTAAATGACCTTTGTCATTATTATACATATAACAATTACAATGGTTATTTTGGAGCTTCAGAGAATCATTACGGGATAGATATTCGTCACCATTTATGTAAATATGATGATAGTTCTCCTCCAAACATGATGTTTTACTAATCCTTAGATTATGGTCAATTTCTTGTTTAGATAATTTGTCAGTTGCTAGATCCTGAATGAATTGGCCAAAAAATTATCTGATGCTTTTATTGTTTGCCTATAGATCATAATGCATGTCCTTGCGTGCATCAGCCATAAAAATCACTGAGGTTGAGAAATGTAATAAATGGAATATGAATATATGAAGATTTTGGGGATACAACGTCCTCAGTGTATCAGTCATAACAATCAATGAAGGAAGATGTGGGTATACACCAATGAGACAGCAACACAACAACATAGAAACCCACATGACTTTTAGATGTAAACATCTGGTGTTCTACAATAAATTTATAGGTTTCATAATGAGTGAGAATTGAACATCACTTGATATCAACTCAAGTTATTTAATTTCAATATAATAATAAACGAGCCTGTGCCGAGTTTATTATTACTATTTAAATTAAGTAACGAGAAACTAGTGAAAATTTGCTTAACAATGTGAGATAGGGTATATGTGTGGCTGTATGAATTAGCCTTATGGGCTAGTTTGCAGTATGACCTTGGTGAACATTCATAACCCAATCACATTCTCTATGTGCATGTCCCAAGCTTATAACTTGTAGTCTAGTGTTTGTGGTTGGTTGCTGTCTACTAAATTGTTTTTCTTTTAATATTATGACCTTAAATCAGATCTTTAGTTTTCTCATTTGCATTGGTTCAAATTTAGTTATCCCTGGCATTTTATAGCTCACTATGCAATATTGGTATGCTCATTGTTGAAGGCAATATGGTGACTTGTAGTTATTTACACACTCGTCCTTCGGTCTTTGGCAGAAAACTGTCTCATTGGCAATTAAGCCACCTTTACTTATTTTTAAAAGGCATTAAGGGGGTAGGAATGCCCTTTGTCATAAAGCAACAAACGTCCCTTTTTCGCTACCGTTAGTGTTAAATGAGCCTTAATTTTTTATCGTCATTCATCAAATCTTATTCTGTAGCTACCGCAAGTGTCAAATGCAGTAAAATGTTATTTTAACAAATATTTTACCGTCATTCGTCATGTGGGGTACCTCCTACCCTCATAAGGTGACTATGTACAGCCAAAGACTAGATATAAACATGGTAGGATAAGTTTTGTATCATATTTTCCAAATCGTGTAATTTCTTTTGATATACTTGAATCTTTTTTTTTCTTCATAACTCTAAAATAAAAAACAGATTAAGTAAATTGATAATATCAAAGTAAAATGTTATCAGTATCTGTATAACTTTAAATTTCTGTGACAGATTTGTTTCAAATGCATTATATTGTGAGGTTGCTGACAGTTTCTTAGTTATTTACCTTCCATCTTTTATGTATGAATAATTAATGATATTGTGTTCCAACTGAAATATTGTCTGCAAATAGAAGAACAAAGTAATTGTTTAATGATTTTAGATCTATTATCTCTATAAGATATTATGACAAACGTTGTAGGCGAACATTTTACATTTGTTTCAGTCATGATTTAGATGTTAATTGTTTAACCTGAGGCAAACACAAGACATTTGAAATGAGGAAAAAACAAATTGTCTCTTGAAAATCAGCAACATAATTCTCTCAGAATCTATAAACAATGGATCACTGGGGATGCCAAAAGTGGGTTTTTTTTTTTTTTTTTTTTTAAATTTATTTTCATCTTTAGTAAACTGAATGCTCAATGGGTGTTAGATTTTGTTTTGTTTCTTTATTATAAAGTGATATTTAATTTTATATATTATGTTTGATGTATGTTACATACGTTCTGATTAGTTCTTTGATTCAAACGTTATCGTCATTTGACATACAGATTACATAGACAAAACATTTCTCTGTGTCCTCACTGTTTTTTTTTTTAATTTGATTTCATGGGTCATAGGTGTGTTCTAAATTAACTTGAACTCAAATTGGCTCAAATAAAGTCTCTTATTTCAAATTCTGATTCTCCAAAATATACATGTTATGAAATATTTGCCACTGGACATTGTTTAAAAATATTATTGTATTCTGAAACTATTACTATATATCAGAACTTTCCTGTCATTTGTATTTGATATTTCTGTTTGACCTTAATAATCATCAGAATTAGTTAATTCTCTGGTTAGTATTAGATATAAGTAGATAATGTCCACAAGTTTGTAATTAATTGAAGAAGAACACAGATGTAAGATCAAATGGACATAGTCTTCTAATTAAGTTAAAGTTAATCAATCCCTCAGCACTTTCTACAAATCACCTTTCATCTGCTACAGATGAGTAACTGTGAATAAAAACATATAGCTATCACCCAGGGTTTTAAGTGTTGGCATTTGTTTATTTCACCTTATGCTTTCCATAAACCTGTAGTTTCAAGACATTACAAAGTAATTTCTCAATCATTATTGCATTTTTTATGTCTTTCTTTTATGGGATTAATAATCATAAAAGATTATGTTTTCCTATTTTTCTGAGCCATGATAACAATAATTTGTTTGACCAGAGAGAATATCAACAGTATGAAATGTAATCTGAACTAAAATTGATATATTTCTTTAAGATTCTTTCAATTATTACAAAGAGCAAAGACAGAAAGGGGGCTGGGGAGGGGGGAGGCTTTAAGAAAAATGTTCAGTGGTGAATATCAATTATCAAATAGAATGAATATACTAGAAGCTATAAGAAAGAGAGGGGAAAGATACCTAAGGGACATTCAAACTCATAAGTCGAAAATAAACTGACAATACCATGACTAGAAAAAAAAAGACAAACAGACCATGAGGTCACAAGGTCACATTTAAAATTGCCTATGGTTACAAGGTGAATTTTAAGCAAATAAATCATTTGATTAAAGCAGTTTTGGACTTTAATAAAGGTCACAGGTCCTTGAAAATGAGACAATATCTTCTGCAAAAATCTCCAAAGTCCCAAGTCAGATTTGACCATGTGGAGCCACATAAATAGCATTGATCCTTATTTCCATGAAGACCATACCACCTCTTTCAAAACTGTACCACTTTTTTCACAGATACTGAGGGCCATTGATCAGTGAGAGTATATCTCCTTTAATGACCTTTAACCTTGATTCTGATACTCAGTAACAGTATTGTATACAAAAGTGATCTGAAATCTCAATAATCAATGTGTGCATTGCCTGTTTTATTAACCTTGACCTTTCCGATTGATTAACTCTGATTGGACAAATGATCAAACTAATTAATTTTAACAATCATTGTTCCTACATATATATTGACTAACATGAACTTAGTGCACTTGTACTTTATTTCATGGCACTTGGTGTTCATTGTATTTTTTTTTTATTAGTAGGAAATACATGTCATGATAGAATATTTTAATGATTGTGGAATTGTTTATTCAAAACAGTTTTCCATGAAAGTAATCAATTAAGCTAAATTATCATGCAATTTTTCCGCCTGTTTAAGGATGTTTTTCTGATTGGGGTATGCATTTTTAATGATTTTGGATATTTGATAGAATTTTTTTCAATAATTTCTTGAATTTTGTTTTTATTGCAAATATATATTTTTTTTACAAATAATGAAATATAAACTAATGTTTTACATATGTTATCACCTGATGGTATCTTGTGATATGTTGAAATATTGTATTTTAAATAATCCTTTCTAAGATCAGTGGTTATTATGATACTATGGCTAAAACAACAAAGTTTGCAAAAAGAGTTTGATAACATGTTTGCAGAAAGAAAAGAGAAACCGTTCAACAATCTTAAACATTGGGAATTTTTTGGCAGAAAATCAGAAAAATGTAATCGAGTATAAAAACATACAAAGCAAGCTATAGATCTATACAGGCTGAAATCCCCTACTGACTTAGGGGAAGCTAATGATAGAAAAAAGTTAACGACGAATCAGACAGTACATTGTGTTCTAGTGGTAATATTTAGCAGATGACAGTTTTGGCACTAGAATATCTATACATCTGTAAGTTCCTACCTGGAACATCTTATCTTGTCTACAGAGTGCTTAGCAGACGACACATAGATAGATATTGGATTGGATAAAAAAAATTCTCTCTGTGACAATTTCGCTAATTTTTCGCTTCTGTTTTGGTAATTTTAGTTAATTTAGAGTGGGATTTTTTTTTAATCATTTGAAGCCAATTATTTGTGACTAATGACTAGAGGGATTTAATCAACGGATTTCTTTTGATTGTGTTAGCAGTTTGTACTACAAGACATTGATAAAGTATTTGATTTTTTAATTGTTTCGCAGAAAGTGGAAAATAATTGCAACTTGTTCATACCTGGAAATAACAATTTATACAAACTTTTTGTATTTTTTTTTATATCGAAAAAGAAAGAGAAACCGTTTATCAACCTACATAACACGTAACTGTTGTACTCTTATGTGTATTATATTAATGAGAAAAAGATGATTAGTTTTATCCTGCAAGCTGATTATTGAGTTTAGTCACAATAAAAATTGATGAAAACAATTTCAAACAGAACAATCTAGCAAATTTACAAATGCCAGTGTCAGATACTGGTATGAGAAGTCCAGTCAACAATAGTGATATGTCAACAGGTACCAGACCAAAATCTCCTCAAGAACAAACATCACGCTCAAAACTTCAACGACAAATTTCTATGAATAAATACGAACATCTGGGTGATCAGGAATATAAACGCAACCAGTTTTCAAAACAAGAAAGCAAGGACAGTGGAATTGTGACAGAAATGGCACTGAGGCCAAAAGACCTTGATCTTACACGGTCGGAGAGTATGAAATCGAGGAATAAAATTGAAAAATCTCCAAGTATGAGAGGGCGATCTCATAATTCTAGTACTAAATCAAAAAGTGGAAGTATGAAATATAAGCAACGAAGCAAAACAACCAGTGATCTGGTACCTATGAAATATAACGAGGAAAATGAGGTGAGTTTTAAACATTTTTCATTATTTTATTTTTCAGAAATTTAGCAAATCACCTTTATTCAAAAGTTTATGAGACTCAAGAAGATATGTGTAGAAAACGAAATGAAATAAGAATGGCGAACATTCAGTTAGCAGCAGTAAGAGCCCAGGTAAGATTATTCACACTCACAGATGGAAAATAGCAGGTGCCCCCTGTAGCCCATAGCCCAGGTAAGATTCTTCATACTCAGGAATGAAAATAAGCAGGTGCCCAGTAGCCCACCGCCCCTAAATTTTGATGTTAACTACTGAAATTTGTTATATTTGTCCATAATATGATACAACTGTTGGCTAATGAAAATATAAGACTGGGCAACAACATGAAAATTTCTAAGTTCCACCTCTAATACTTATTTGTTTTGTTATTATCGTAGGAAAATAATTTGATTCATGAATAACCTTTTTAGATTGCACATTTTTATGAATAAAAGCAAGTATTATATTTTTTATTCACACTGATGTAGATTCCAATAAGCTGACCTGAGACCATTTTGTACCAATAGGCTGACCTGAGACCGTTTTATTCCAATAAGGTGACCTGAGACCGTTTTATTCCAATAAGGTGACCTGAGACCGTTTTATTCCATTAAGCTGACCTGAGACCATTTTGTACCAATAGGCTGACCTGAGACTGTTTTATTCCAATAATCTGACCTGAGACCGTTTTATTCCATTAAGCTGACCGGAGACCATTTTATTCCAATACGCTCACCTGAGACTGTTTTATTCCAATAAGCTACCTGAGACCATTTTATTCCAATAATCTGACCTGAAACCATAGTAACCATAACCACTAGTACGTTTATGGTTAAAGAAAATCACAAATTCGCCATGAGTCAATTTTTTTTTCTGACACTTATATTTACTATATTTGAAATCTGTAGTTATTTTCTTAAAGTATCTTGACCTTTGACCCCACCAAATGAAAGTTGCAGTGTTTATTGACTTCCTTTGAACATTGTATTAGCAATGAATAAAAAAAGTTATAAGTATAACTGCATGCATGTTCACATCAAAACACAGATGTAATTAATTAAATTAATGGTGCCTCATAATAACCTCATCATTACTATTTTTACATCTATAATAACTATTCTCGTGTATTAAACTTGTAGTTTAGATTAGAATTTTGTAAACGTGTTTGAAGATATTGTTTAAAGTGTTTGATTTTCACTTAAATTCTCTATGTTAATTGAACTGTATTCAAAATGTAAGGTAGCTCTGGGAACAGTCTAATTTAGTCAAGATAATTAGAAGTGGTTGTATTTTTAACTATTTAGAGAGGCTGAAAATACCAAGGGGACATTCAAAACTCATAAGTCGAAGAAAAACTGACAAAGCCATGGCAAAAAATGAAAGATGACTCTATTAGACAAACGTGTTCACACCTGTCGTTATTTTGCAGAAGATAACAAAGATACAGCATTTCAAATATAAACAGTTGTATTAACAAAAAATATAATGTTGTGCTTCCCTAGTAAAATTGGTAGGAATTTTTTATAGTTTTGCACTACCAAAATAAATTATGTCTTGACAACATCACTTTTAGGAATTTTCTTTTGTTTTTTTTAAATTTAGAAGATTTCCTTTTTCCACCTTTAAGTATACAAGAAGCTTAAAACGTTATGGGAGGAAGGAGGTCTTCTTGAATTCCAGATGTCCTCCTATGATAGTTGTAGCTGTGGCAATTGAAACATTCTCTCACGTTTCTGTGACCTTTTGTATGTGTGAATTTATATATATATTTTATTAAGAAATGCAGATTTTTACCCTGAGGGAATATAATGAATTCATTTTGATATTTTGAAATTGCATTTATTAGGTGCAATATGGATGACTTCTTAAAAAATATAATAGCAACTAAAATATAAACTCTATTTTAAGACACAATGGGTCTATTTCATTCAATTATAGATGGTATTGCTGATGCAAAAAATTCTTATAGAATTCAATGAACTGGTAAATGTCGAATAATTAACTGAAAATGCCAATACCTCATTTACATGTGATGTGAGACCTCAAGTAGAAAAAGTGGGAGAATGTTTAAGGTAATAAAACTTGAATATTGGATTAAATAAATCACTAATGAGAAAATTTCTCTGGAAATAAATCTATCAGTATTGTGTCTCATATAGCTCCTGTGAGAGTCTAAACGGTCAGAGTTCATATCTTTTTATATCTATCTACAATTATTATATGATTATATATATATTTATCAGTCTTGCTATTTTGATATAGAGACCTGGATTAAGAACCTTCTTGCTATTTTAGACCTGCATTAAGAAGTAATATAACTGAGAGACTGTAATGAACGCTGTCAGTTTGACAGGTTTTGATACATCACCAGCTAAATACTCTTACTATACTCATCATTGTTATTTTGGTCTGAGAGGAAGTCTTAATTTAACAGTACAATGAAAAATCTGTTATTTCTGTGTAAATTTGTAATTAACAAAGGAACATAGGATATTTTTGTAAACAAAGGAATAAAAATACAATCCCTCTGCATGTGTATGTTGAATTAGTCAGCCGTTTTTCTTAATATACGGAGTCAGCGCCATGCTATAAATTCTGAAAGTCTGTATATAGATGATTGGCCATGGAGTACTGGCAGATACTGTATAATAAAACAATAACTCACAGTAACTAATACAATATAAAAATATAATTAAATTAATGCCTCAATTGATGACTGGTCAGTTTTACAGCTGTTGTATAATAAAATATAATTTTTGGCACTGACCAACAAATAAACAAACATAAATAATAAAGGTCATTCATTACCATTCATAAATGTACAAATACATAAAGGAAAGTTATATGGGTCTTTCACAATTTTCTCTTACATTATTAGGTTAGAGCTGGAATTTTATATCTGTTATGACAACGAGTATCTTACTCTAGAGGAATAAGCTTTTTTAGTATCAGAAAATCTGCATTTAACCTTTCAACTTTTTGTATTCCACATAGGATTATATATTGATTTATCCATATAATTTGTAGCTTACTTTAGTATCTAGATGAAAATTAGTAACTTATATCTAAAACCTTTTATCTGTAGTCGGTGTAAAAACTGTAAATGAAAAGTGACGTTCAGATGAAATGAAGTCACGATAACCACTGGTTATGCTCAGCTTAGTTTATCCCTGGTTTGTAATAAGTCTGTTTATCACAATTTTCTTAAATTTAGCGCTGATCCTTTTATGTAATAATTTTTCATCTCAAGCTATTAGACTAAGAATGATTTTTCCCAGTCGAGTAGAGTGAGAGCTTGATGATATCATAAGCTAACTAATCATTGACGTTGACTAGGAAAATAGGGATAAGCAGATTATCCATGGTCTTGTAACTCAAGTAAGTTTCTCTGCTACATCTCATCCTAGGACTTTATTGTCCTTCAATGATATTGTAGCTGAGAAACTCCCTCTTGTCTTCAAAAACATAGATAAACTATAATTACTTTGCTACCATTTAAAAATGACATGAAGAGGTACTAATTAAAGCTATTGAAACGTTATACAGGGAGGTATATTTGTGAGTCTCTGTGGTATATATCCATTGTTGAAGACTTGATGTTAACTGGTAGATGTCTTTGTGGTTTTTGTGTTTCTGGTTTGCTGTCTTGTAGATGTATACACTGTTTTTTTTTTCATTTTAATGTAAGAAGCCATTTGTACTTCGAAAAAACTATGACACCAATTTTCCTGCACATGACGCATGTTTCTGAAATAATCTTTAATGGGCATCTTCATCATCAAATGTTTACATGTTTACATAAAAGTTTATTTTGTATATGAAGCTAAACCAAACTCCTTAGAGTTAAAATCTTCAGCTATCCTTACAATCTTACATAAATAATGGATTTTCATTTGATAGAATATTTTATATGTCAATTGAAAATATGTATTCTGAATAAGTGATTGGTTTTTTTTTTTTTTTTTTCGAGGGGGCTAATAAATAGTTGCAAAGTGAAGCTTGTTGACATATTTTTTATGCAAAACAATTATATTTGTTCTGGTGTTAGGGCCTGTCCCCTCCCCTTCCCGAGCAACCCCCCTTTGTGTATTCAAAACAATATCTGATATTAGCTCTTTTATCAAATCTAATAAGTCACTACAGGTTTCGGAACATCTCACCTAATTGAGAATTAAAATACCTGGATGTTTTTAATTATATTTATTTAGGCTAGATTTTTCTTAGTAATCAGATTAGTCAGTAAAATATAAGATGTTTAAAGTCAGAATCTTTTTCATCAGACATTATAAAAATAAATCAGAACTTTAATCAATGTGATCAGTTTCCTCCCAGATGTATGGGTTCCCTGCCCAATTTAAAGTGGTTATGTAGGCTAGGAATTGCACTCTTTTATCAAACCAAACAGATTATGATCTGGATACCTGTTTAGAACATCTGGTTCCTATTGATTTGTCATATCCAATCAATATCATGGTCCAATTATCCAATAGCAAAGTTACAATCAACATAGTACTAACTGTTCTCAGACCACATCTGGTTCCAATTTACTGGTATCCTGTCAGACCTTGGTGGTACCATTGACAGGACATAACAATATAACTAAAACATAATAATATTATTAGCAGTAAATATTTTTTTTATATAATGCCACAGAGTTAGCCATAGAGTACAATATGTATTACTTATACCACTGAGGCCATCAGGTATATTTGATTTACATCATGGTATTATGATTAATGCAAAGCTTTCAATAATTTAGAAGGGGGGTCTTTTATACATTGAGCCTTGTTTTAGGATAAAGCATTTTAATTACATTGTGTAAGTTTTATTGTATGATTTTGTTTGATGTTTAATCTTGGCAGATACATACTTCATATAGTCTCTGATCTTGGTTCTTATCTATTGAGAGACAAAGGAGCAGGCATTGGTAAAATCATGATGAAAAAAGTGTAAGGGATTTAAATTCATTATATAACAAAGTTTAATTTACAAAAGCAATCATTTTTGTTCCCATTCTAAGCATACATCAACCTTAATGCTGTATTATGCCTACTTGTATTGTAAGCATATATCAAATCTATTTAATGCTGTATTATGCCTACTTGTATTGTAAGCATATATCAAATCTATTTAA